GGAACCTCCCTCCAGGGATGCTGGAGACCCTTCACCCAGCATTCAGGTTCTCTAGGAGATGCAAAGGTTGTGCACTCCCCCAACCCCCTCCTAGTGACTTTGGGTTGATGTGTTGTCCGCCTTTGGGAGCTAGGGATGGGGGATGGGGGGGGCTCTTCACTTGTAGAGAGGAGCTGTCGTGCTAATCCCCTCAACCTTCCTAAGCGTTTGTGCCCAGCCCTCCTGGGGTGGGGGGGGGGAGTCACGCGGTCTGGCGCCCAGTGCCTTCCGCGGGCGGAGGAAGACCCGCTTGGATGCCCCCATCCCTAGCCCTAGGAGTCCCGGGAACTGACCGAACACGTGCTTGGCGCCAGAAGGTGCAAGGGGGTCAGGATACTTAGTGCCGCATCCCCTTTTCCTGTGTGAGTTCGTCCCTCCCACCCATAGCTCCCCCCCCCCCCGTGACTCAGCACCCCGCTTCTGAGCCGGGAGGGTTGGCGGGAATGTGGTTCGGTCTCGTGAGGCAAACTGGCCCCATCCTGCGGGAGCTCGTGTGCGCAGAGGACAGGCAGAGACAGCTGGCGCTGAGCGCTGAGCGACAGCGCGGGCCGAGGCCAGGTTGGGGGGAGGGGAAGAGGTGTGTGTAGGGGGGTGGTATTTATAGCCCAGGAGCGGAGGCCGAAACCCAATCCCAGCTTTCGGCTGGGATGTATCTGGAAAGGTTCCAGAGGAGAGCGGATGTAGGGCCCGGGTGCACGGTGGCGCTTACCTTGGCGGGGCAAGACGAGTTACCTCTGGGGCCTTACCGCAGGTTCCGCTTCCTTTTCTGAATTTGGAAACCGTCACCGTGCCTTTTCGTTGTGGGAAGGGAGGCGCACCGCCCTGCGGATTCTGGTGCCACAGGGGTTAATTTTGGACTGGCAGGGACGGAGCCTAAGTCAGGGAGCGTCCCAGGGCCCACAACTTCTCACTGCCAGCCCTGCCGTCTGCCGTTACCAGCATTATCCCTATTTCTGTGGAGGCTGGCACGGTGGAATGAAGGTGGTAAAGACACGCAGAGTGCGGGGGTGGAGAAGGGGAGCCAGATGGGATTGATCCCCAGCGCCAGATGGGATTTAAAGGTGGGGGGAAGAGGACATCCTGATGACCAGTGTGGTCAGCTGATGCCAGATGGAAAGGCTGAGACACCTCTTCACTTACAGGAATGAAGGGGAGGAGGTTATAGCAAATTGTAGTTATTCTTCATCAAAGAATGAAGCAGGGAGGCCTATGGCTACAAACTGGAAAATCTGCCTCTCTCAGGCTCTAAAGAACCTGGGTGTGTGGGCTGCAGGATTAGGAGCAGCTGGAAAATCTCTTCTGTCCTGGGTTACTGCAGTGTCTGCTTGTCTCATACGCATGTGCCCTCTCTGTCCTCCCTGAGTGTTCTATGAATGTGGCAGGGCCATGAGCAGCCACAGCTCTCACTTGACAAATTCCCCACTGGGAAGTAGGCTAAGGGATTGGCCTGCCCTACTAGGTACCTCTTCCTGTGCAAGGGAGCCTGGGGAGGCTGCCAGCTTCCTCTCACCTCTGCCAGCTTGAAGCCTCCCCTCTTGCCAACTGAGTCATCCTACCTGGTAGATGATAAGGTGGGAGAGAGGCTCATGAGGTAGATACTTACGGATGTGGCACTTATGCTGTGACCCCTCTCTATCCTGCAGCGTGAATGCATCTCAGTCCATGTGGGGCAGGCAGGTGTCCAGATGGGCAATGCCTGCTGGGAGCTCTACTGCTTGGAACATGGGATCCAACCTGATGGGCAGATGCCCAGTGACAAGACCATTGGTGGAGGGGATGACTCCTTCACAACCTTCTTCTGTGAAACTGGTGCTGGAAAACATGTGCCCCGGGCAGTTTTTGTGGATTTGGAACCCACTGTAATTGGTGAGCAGAAGAGGGGGCAAATTTGAGGGAGGTGGATGGTCTTGGGAGAGGGTACCTAGACTTGGCTTCCTGGCTCTAAAAAACCCCTAGCCCTATCCCCAGATAAAGAAGGGAAGCTGATCTCAGCCTGGCATGTGCCACAGCGGGTCTGGGTTTCTCCTACACATATCTCAGACTGGCAGAAGGATGAGCTAGCTGTTCCATATATCTGGCAGCAGATATCAGCCTGGAGGGAGGAAGGTCCCTGCTGAGCACAGCCTTGTGGTTTTGCTCAACAGTGTGGTTTATGCTCTTCCAGATGAGATCCGAAATGGCCCGTATCGACAGCTCTTCCACCCAGAGCAGCTCATCACTGGGAAAGAAGATGCTGCTAACAACTATGCCCGTGGCCACTACACCATTGGCAAGGAGATCATCGACCCTGTGCTGGATCGGATCCGCAAACTGGTAAGAATTTTGCATAGAAGGAAAGGAGCATTTGAGATTAAACAAATGGTCAGGAAAAAGCTTTTTTCAGATCCATTTCAGGAGGTCATCTCTAGCTATATGTTCCAGAATATGATGCTACTGTGGGATACTCGTTAATCCTGGCCCTAACTTTGAGATATTTGAGCATTCGTGGAGCTAGAAAAAAGTTCCCCAGCCACCCCTCCACCCTCCACCCCTGCCACATGGCTCTTTCTCTTTCTTGCCTTTCAGTCTGATCAGTGCACAGGACTTCAGGGCTTCCTGGTATTCCACAGCTTTGGAGGGGGCACCGGCTCTGGCTTCACCTCCCTCCTGATGGAGCGGCTCTCTGTTGACTATGGCAAGAAATCCAAGCTGGAGTTCTCCATCTACCCAGCTCCCCAGGTGTCCACAGCTGTGGTTGAGCCCTACAACTCCATCCTGACCACCCACACCACCCTGGAGCACTCAGACTGTGCCTTCATGGTGGACAACGAAGCCATCTATGACATCTGCCGCCGCAACCTCGACATTGAGCGCCCGACCTACACCAACCTCAATCGCCTCATCAGCCAAATCGTCTCCTCCATCACCGCCTCCCTGCGCTTTGACGGGGCCCTCAACGTGGACCTGACAGAGTTCCAGACCAACCTGGTGCCCTACCCTCGTATCCACTTCCCCTTGGCCACCTATGCTCCAGTCATCTCGGCAGAGAAGGCCTACCACGAGCAGCTGTCGGTGGCAGAGATCACCAATGCCTGCTTCGAGCCTGCTAACCAGATGGTGAAGTGTGACCCCAGGCATGGCAAGTACATGGCCTGCTGCCTGCTGTACCGCGGAGATGTGGTACCCAAGGATGTCAATGCTGCCATTGCTGCCATCAAGACAAAGCGCAGCATCCAGTTTGTGGACTGGTGCCCCACGGGTTTCAAGGTTGGTATCAACTACCAACCTCCCACAGTGGTGCCTGGGGGTGACCTGGCCAAGGTGCAGCGTGCCGTGTGCATGCTGAGCAACACGACCGCCATCGCTGAGGCCTGGGCCCGCCTGGACCACAAGTTCGACCTGATGTACGCCAAGAGGGCTTTTGTACACTGGTATGTGGGAGAGGGCATGGAGGAGGGTGAGTTCTCAGAGGCCCGGGAGGATATGGCTGCCCTGGAGAAGGATTATGAAGAAGTGGGCATCGACTCCTATGAGGATGAGGATGAGGGAGAAGAATAGAACAGCTGCCTGGAGCCTGTTCAGTTATGTCTATTGCAAAATTCTTTCGAAATAAAGTCTCCTTGCACGGTTTCTGGTCCCTCTGTAATACTTAAGCTTCTGCTGCTGCTGCTGCTGCTGCTGCCGCCCTCACTAGATGCTGCTCATGACCCTCTTCCATTCCATGGCTATAGGTGAGACTTGCAAGGGGCTCTTGGAAGGCCCAGGAAGCAGGACCACAGGGACTCTGATGTCAGGTCCCTAGGGACACCCAGGATAGGAAGGAAATGAGGACCAAATTCTGGACCTATCTGTCCAGCCACAAACTATTAAAGGATACAAGTCTTCACTTCTTTCTAACTAGGAGTTTATGTCCAGTAGTTTCCGATTTGGAGATTGGACTGCTACCCTGTTTTTCCTGCTGCCTCTACATTCACCAACTCTGGAACAAGCCTTGGCCCAGGCTCCGCTGTGCACTGAGGGCTTGGGAATGTGGCTGGGCTGGCCCGAAGTTCCTGGGCACAGAGCCCTGTCATAAGCTTGGGGGATGGGAAAGAGCAGTCTCCTAGAGTTGTTTGTGCCATTGCACCTCTCAGCTTTGCATAGCTTATTGTCTGTCTTGCTGCTTTGCTGGGACTGGGCTGTGCCATTAAAAAAAGTCAGACTGTCTCCCCTGTTTGAGCTTTTTGCCTTAATCTCCTTGCTAGCTGGTGGGACCTTCTCCTGGGGCCCTGGGGAAAAATTCAGCTTTGCTAATAGGCACCCTAGGACCCACACTGACGTCAGCCTGGTTGGGCATGGTCTTCACTCTCAGGAGCAGGAGATGCCAACCCTGCCCTTGCCACCCCTCCCTGGTGACTCACGGACACAATGCCCTTCCCTGGGGAACATTCAAGCCCATTAAAGCAGGGCCCCTGTTTACTCAGCAGAGCAGCCCGGAAGTAGCTGCTGGATACTGCCACACCACAATAGCCTTGTTAATTATTAATCATGTGGGAGCTAGAATAATCAGGGAGGCCCTGCCAAAATGGCTACCAGCTTCCCCCTTCCCCCAGGCTGAGGATGGGAGACTTGTTATGTTGCTGTCCTAAGCTTCCTCAGGTGTCTCCACCCAGAGGTCCTTGGCCTGGCAAACCGGCTGAGCTGCTTTGGCTAAGCTACCCACCCCTGGGAGTGAAGGAAGGAAAGAACTCGAGTGTACTTTTAGGGGGCCTGGTCCCCATTCTTGGCACAAGCTGAAGCCAGCTCAAGCCAGAGCAGCTTCAAGTTTTTGACTAAGACAGGCTACAACTGCTGGCTGCTAACCAGCCAGATCTTACACCTGCCTCCTTACGTAGAATGACACCCACTATGCCAGTTCTTTTCCCAGGCTGTAACCTTGGAAATGGCAACCAGACTTTGCCCCTTGCACCTTTTCTCTCCCTCTAGAGACACTGAGACTAAAATCCACAGTAACCTGCTTTCACTTTATTCTCCTGCTCCCAGATTTGGAAGCTGACCATGATACAAGCCCAGCAGTCCAGCTCAGAGCTGTGTATCACATTTTCTCAGTTTTGCCCTTGCCTGGGCACTGGGGGTAAGAGCAGAAGAGGACTGAGAAATAGGACAGCGACAATAGTCCCCTCCCTCTGTCCCCAACTGTAAAAGCAGTCCTAACAGAATGGATAGAGATCCAATGAGGGATGAGAGCCTCTTTCCAAGGCACAAGAGGCCGTCTTCTCAAGATGGCCACTGGTTTCTTCAGATTTGGGTAGTGTGCTGGCCAGGAGCTGGGGGCTGCAGAGCCTCCAACTGACTGAGGAGGAGAGGAATGTGAGGGCGCTGCTGGGGGTCCACAGTCATCATGGAGGCCAGCAGCTGCCGCACTGCTGAAGAATGCCTGTGGAGGAAGGAGGGCAGGGTGAGTGGAGGACGCCTCTGCTCCCTCCTAAGCCTCCAACTCAGCTAATCCTAGGTAAGAGTGTGAAATCCTTGGTGCCTCTCTTATTGCTCACCTGGAACTTTGTGGGATGATAAGTTGGTTCTGCACAGCAAGAGCTACACTGTCACCCTTCTGGAACACCATGTCATAAGGACCTTCCCCAAACATCATGGCATAAAGCACACAACCTAGGGACTGAGCAGAACTTGGTTAGTCCCTAGAAGGGGACCAACAGAGGTGACATCTCTCCCTTCATGTCCGTGATGAAATGAGACTACCTTAGTAAAAATATGCCAACCTCCCCTAGGTCGGAGAGATCAGCCCCTCCCCCAGGGCCCAGATAAACTGCCAGTTATCTAGAGGCCTCTGCAGCCCTTGCTTAGGCAGTGCCTTGAGCACTGACACTGAGCTGTACCCACCCAGTTCAGTGGCAGGGACCAAACCACTTCCTGGGCAACTGTGTACAGCATCAGAGACAGTTCTCAGGAAGGAAGTTGAGGGGTATGGGGACATATTGTGGTTCCTGGGGCCCCATGCAACAGAAACTGTAAGGCCTACAACCCTCTACTCCACGCTAGGCAAAGAGCTCCACTGCTCCCCACCCCCAAGCTCCTCACCCAGACATCAGTCCGCTCATCGATGACACAATGGCTCTGCACAGTGAAGAGCTCCGGGGCACGGTAGGAAATGGTGCACCGCTGGGCTGCCCAGTCCTGGAACGGTGGCCCCAGAGTGCAAAAGTGGGACACAAGCCACAGTCATGTGACAAACTAGGGAATGCACTAGAAAGGAATTAGGGATGGGAACAGATAAGCAAAGGAACCTGGAGACTTTCTTACCTGCAGGGTCAGGGCCTGTCGAGAACCCTCCACATGGATACGTGCTTGATTCATGGAACCCAAATCCATTAAGACTGGCTGCCCCTCATCTCCAAGCAAGATATTGGTGGGCTTCAGGTCCCTGGAGGTAAGTGAAAATGACCCATAAACACCCAGGACAGGGAGGCTGGAATCCCAGAGAGTGAAAGAATCATGGGAGCTTTCCTTGGGAGAAAGGCAGACAGACCTCCCCATTCTTTTGGTGAGGCCCTTTCTCTTGGCCCCAGCAAGGATGCAGGGCCCTCCCACTGACCTGTGGGCGTAACCTTTGGCATGAATGGCTTCAAGGCCTCTGCAGATACCCAGCAGCAGCCAAAGGATTTGATCCTCAGTCAGGAAGTTGCCTTTGTCCTTCAGCCTTTCTATCTCACTCCACAGTGTGCCTCTCTGCAATACAAGTTTCCCCACACTGAGATGTTTCTGAATCCTCTGCTCCCTAGGCCTGACACCTACCCCATGTCAAACCCCATCAACTCTTTCACCACACACACCTCAAGCCCCACAGTCCCACTTGGACTCCTCTAAACCCCCCAACCAAAATGGCCAGACCCACAACATGGCACCTGCTTCCTAACATGCTTGACTGCTCACACAGCCTTTGGAAGGTGGCTCTGTTGTAACCCCCTTCATAACCAGGAGACTTTCTGACCTTGTGGAAGGGTAGAAGGAGCCAGGCCTCATGCTTTGTGCCCCACTCTTTCAGACAGTAAGCCACAAGGCGAAGGATGTTGGGGTGATGGAAGAGACGATGCATGTCTGCTTCTCTCTGGGCCTCCTCCTGGTCCTGCTGCTCGTGACACAGGATTCGCTTCAGGGCGTAGAAGTGTCCATCATGTAACCCCTCCACTAGGTCCACATAGCTGAACCCACTGTGGGCCAAAGGGGTCAGTGAAGGACCATGACTATCTCCCACAAGGCTTGGACCCAGAGAAATTCCCATGCGGAGAGCGCTTCTTGACTTAAGCAGAAACCCTCCCAAAATGTGGCTCTAAGAGAAGTCTGAAGATTAGTTGGAGCTTCTCAGGAGCAAGGATACAGAAACCACCGAGGTCCTATGGTCCAACAGTGCTCTGCACAACGCATGCTCAATAAATATTAAATAAACATTTATCAAGTGTTTATGAACCAGACACTGAGACATTTTACATACATTACCTCATTTAATCACAACTCCATCAGTGGGACATGATAATCATCCCCATTAAGCTGATGAAGAAATCATGGCTTACCAAGGTCACTCTAGGAGGCCTGGGTCCAGAATCTACTTCCTTAACCCACTCAGCTAAGGTTCTGTCAGACGAGGCAGAGGACAGGAACAAAACCCTTGTGCCCCTATCATGCACAGACCATTGTCCCTCAATGACCAGAGAGCCCTGGGGACTAGCTAAATGGTTTCCAAGCACTCACCCCTCCCCAAGTTTCTGGATGAACAGGTAACGCTTATTGTCAATAATGATAGTTCCCCGAGAGCAGACACACAGCGCGTGGCCCATAATGTCTCACGCATTCTCCTCAAGGACAATCTTTGGCTGCTGGGGGGTTCGTCCAGGGCGAGTGGGCTGTGCCAGGAGATGCGCTGGGAACCCAGCTGAGTATGTTGGGAAGAAAGCAACGGCGAGTCACGGATCCGGCACAATCCAGATGGCCCCTGAAGTACCAACACGGAGAGCTCAGGCTCAGGTCTGGGAACCTAGAGTCCCGTCTACAGAAAACAAGCCCTGGCGACGCCGGCTCCAAGAAAGCTGGAATCAGGTTCCTCAAAGCCTCAGGCCACGCTGCGACTACCAGGCCGCTTCCTTCCACCCCGGCCCACCTTTGGGTGGGCCCCGCTCCCACGCCCGTCAGACCTCAGAGGCAAGGCACAGGGTAGCTCCGGAGTAGGTGCGACGCTCGCGCCCACCTCTGGCAGAGAACACCCTAGGCCTCGAGGCGCTCGGCTTAGGGTCCGCCAGCCGGCACAGCCCACTGACCTGCCTCCTACCGAAGCGACGCTCCGGGAACCGGAAGTAACAGTTACGTCATCCGTCGGCGCCGGAGTAACGGCCCGCCGTATCCTAGCAACTGCTGGGCCGCGGGAAGATGTGGGAGAGCAGAGTGAAGAAGCTGGGGGCGGGCTAGACATAGAGGTGGACTGGTCCCAGGACCCGGGTAAGCGTTCTCCACTTGGCCTACAGTACTGGTCAAGACTCAGGCATTTGAGCGAAAGGGGAGCAAAGCCGGGCTCGACCTGAAGCCCCAGGACCACTATTTCCCAATGTCGGAGGTAGGAGGCCTCATAACTTCTGCCTACTACAGTGCAGCCCAAAGGGGGATCTAGGGAGGAACTGGGGCGGGTGGCCTGGACTTCGGGAGTACCACCTGTACCATCTTCATTGCCCTGGCGTCAGTGTTTAAGAGTTTAGACAGTTGAACCAGTTTGCCAGTTTCTAAATGTGGTCCTAAGAACCTCCCACCCGTGTGACCTCCGGTAAATTCCTTAACTTTTAAAATCTTCACTCTTCCTAGCTGTAAAACAGATATAGTTGTACCTAAGGTAAAATACGTAAATCATAAGGCCAAACTGAACGGGGCTTGCTGGCGCAAGGCTATAATCCTAGCACTCCGAAGGATGAGGCAGGAGAATCGCTGTGAGTTTGAAGTCAGCCTGGGCTACATAGTGAGGTGAAGGGCAATCAGAACTACAAAGTGAGACCCTGTCTCAAAAAACAAATAAATAAATAAGGCCAAACTGACTAGTTCTAAGTCTCAGCTCTGTTAAATAGTTGTCACACTGCTGGCTATTTAGTATTTTCATCCTTCAGTTTTCCCCTCTGTAAAATGAGAATAATTATTTCATGGAGTGGTTTGAAGATTAAATGAGGTGTAAAGTGCTTAGACACTATCTGGCACAAAACCCTCAATAACTATCAATAAAAAGAATAATAGTCAGCACTTGTTGCTTTGATCGTCTAGACTGTGAAAGCAGGAGGGATGGAAATTCACAAATCCTCAAGGCTTAGAACCAAGCAGTTGTCCTTGACATCTCTTGCTCAGATAGACCCAGATAAATTGGATAGGGGTGAATCTCCAAAGAAAATAGAATGATCAGGATGGGCTATTTTGCTGAAACAGCTTTTCGGGGAAAACATCCATCTTGTGACGTGTCCCCCCACTCCACGTCCCTATCACCATGAATATCTTCCTACAGATTCCCCTGGTTCTGAACCTATTTTAGCCCTTGGTTCTGACATCAAGTCATTTGGATTTCACCTGCTATGTGCCAGACCCTGCGCTAAATGCAGGAGAATTCAAGATGGACAAAGCATGTCCCGCCCTCAGGGCAATGCTTCTCAGTGTTGAATGTGCTCAGGCTCATCTGGGAATCTGTTAAAATGCAAATTCTGATTCTGTAGATCTGAAGTAGGACCTGAGATTCTGCATTTTTTAACAAGCTCCCAGGTCATGCTGATAGAGCTGAGTGTTGAATTGTATTTTGAGTAGCAAGATGTAAAGGATTTTAAAAACAAGTAGACTAGTGAGTGGCTGCAGACTGGAAACAAAGTCCTGGCTAAGTGCAGGGAAACTTGAGGTGGTCTCCATCCCTTGTGTGCCGAGGTTCACTCCCAGGAATCTGGCACCTGACAGTTGGACCCACAGCTCAGAGGAGAGGAGCCCTGTAAGCTCCATGGCTTGCAAGAAATCACCCTGCCTTCTCTCCTGGCTGCTGCCGCTCCTCATACTCCGGCTTCCCCAGGTATGATGAGAGGGCTGTGCTCCCTAACTGGGTGTGGTGAGGCAAGAACAATTGGGGCAGATGAGAGAAAGTCAACCACTAAACAGCCAGCTGAGCATATCTTCTGCTCCTGGTGGGCACAGACCCTTCACTACACAACACTGCTGAGCACAGGCTCTTCTCTTTGCTTTGCAGGCAGACGCTCGGTCGTTTGTAGTAGATTGGGAACAGGACAGGTTTCTGTTGGACGGGGTCCCATTCCGCTATGTGTCTGGCAGTCTACACTACTTTCGGGTACCGAGGGTGCTTTGGGCAGACCGGCTTTTCAAGATGCGATTGAGTGGCCTCAACGCTGTACAGCTGTAAGTGCTCACAAGAGCCTTAAAGGGGTGGAATTTACTTTTCCCACTGTCCCCTAGGAACTGGATTGGGAGACAGGCTCTGAAGAGGGGTTAGAACTGCAAAGCCTTGGGTAGGAGGGGGAAAGGTAGGGCCAGAATCTCCTTCCAGCTGCTTCCTGGAGATTCTTTGCAAGACACCCCTAGGGCCCTGCCTAGCATCTTCCCTCCTTGGGTCCTGTTAACCTCTTCCTTTCTCAGTTACGTGCCCTGGAACTACCACGAGCCGCAGCCTGGAGTTTATAACTTTAATGGCAGCCGTGACCTCCTTGCCTTTCTGAATGAGGCAGCTATTGCAAACCTGTTGGTCATACTGAGACCAGGACCTTACATCTGTGCAGAGTGGGAGATGGTGAGTTGGAGAAGGGGCCGAAGCAAAGCCACCCATGGTGGTTTCTCTCTGCTTAAACTCCCGGGCCATTTCCAGTACTATACTCAACACTCTCCCTTCTTAACTCTTCACCACACCCTCAAAACAACAAAGCCTACATGCTCCTTTTTGGCCTTTATGTTGTTTCAGGGGGGTCTTCCATCCTGGTTGCTTCGAAAACCTAAAATTCATCTAAGAACCTCAGATCCAGGTGGGTTGAGACAAAGGATTTCACATAGAAAAAAGCATACAACAAAAAGATGCATCATTTATATGCCCCAGCCAGAAAATACCATCCTCAGCCTGGAGATCATTCATTGAAATATTTATCATTGTTTCCTTCTTGCCCAGCAGGGTGTTAGAAACTAGAACCAGACAGACCCAATCCATGTGCAATAGGCCTTACAATGGATGATACAGATTTTAAAACAAAACAAAACACTATTCCCAGTACCCCTTATAGGCTGAGGCAGAAGGATCTCAAGTTCAAGCCCAGACTAGGCAACTTAATGGGACCTGTCCAAGAAAAAAAAATGAGGCATACCTGTAATCCTGTAATTCTAGCATTCAGGAGGCTGAGACAGGAGGATTATCGTGAATTCAAGACCAGCCTGGGCTGCATAGTGAGTTCAAAGCAAAGCCCTGTCTCAAAAAAAAGAAAAAAGGAAAAGGGCTGGATATGTAGCTCAGTATGAAGATCCTGGACTCAATCCCCAGTGTACCACACACAAAAAAATTACAACCTGTAAATGTACTTTACAAAAAATATAGAACTCTCCACACTGATTTCCACAGTGGTTACACCAGTCTATACTCCCACACAAAATAATATATAAACAAGGAGTTCATTAAGAGAGAGAGCCTCTTTTTGATAGTGCAGTCGAAAAGGCTTTTCTGAGAAGGTGGCATTTCATAGGACTTCTAGGGAAGAAGCAGCACTGGTCATGTGAAGAGTGAGGCAAGAACATTTCAGTCCAGAGACTGGAAAGGACACAGCAGGACTTAGGAATGTAGACCATTGAGGCTGGATAAGGGAGATGGTAATATGAGTTTGGAGTTGAGATAGACAATTGGTGTAGGCCATTGTATGGAGTTTGTAATTTATGCCAAGTACAGTAGAAAGCCAATGAAAATATTTAACCAGAGTGAGACATAACCTGATTTGTTTTACTCTTTAGCTTGGATGTGGAGAATGGACTGAGGGGTTCAAGGGTGGAGAACTGAGGCTATGACTGTAGTTGAGAACAGATATGACACTGCCTGGAGCAAGGTGATGGCAGCAAAAATGAAAGAGCCCAGAGTTGAAATATGGCTTGGAGGTAAAAATCACCAGGACTCGTTGATAGACTTTGATTGGAAGGTGAGAGATGGGGTTTTAGAAGAATAGAAAGGGCCAGAGGAGAATAGAAAGGGATCACGTTTCTGGCCAGTCCAGATGGTGGCAATATTTACTGACATGGGGTAGAGGACACTTGGGGTACAGATGAACAACTGAGGGTGCTGGAGAACCTTATGCCCCTTCCAGCACTTCCCAACCCTGGCTATGAAACATGACAGTGGTGAGGTATGACTGGAACACAAACATGTAGTCTCTGTTTAGCTCAAGACAACTGGCAAGCTCCATGTAAAATCCATGGGGATGCCTCAGGCCTTTTCCTCCTCGACCAGCCAAGCCTGTAGCACTCAGGACGGCTGATTGGTTTCTCTGTCCTTCAAATTTGTTTGGAGGTTCTAGCAGGGGAGTGCAGCTACTCCTATATGCTTGACTGAAGAGCCATTCTCTGTTGGAAGGTAATTCTCTTCCACTGAGCACACAGCCTCAGGAGGGAACACAGGGAATGGTGCGGGAGAAAGGGGACATCTGCTGAGCCAACCAGATCAGCCAAATCAACCTTGGTTATCAGTGTGACAAACATCCCAGCTAGGTCACTCTTATCTGTTGCTTTTTTTTTTCTTTCTTTTTTTGTTTTTTTTTTGGTTTTTTTCTCTGGTACCGGGAACCGAACTCACGACCTTGCGCTTGCCAGGCAGGCACTTTGCCGCTGAGCTAAATCCCCAGCCCCTTTTCTTTCTTTTTGAGAAAGTATCTTGCTGTGTAATTCAGACTGGCTTTGAACTCACTATGTAGCCCAGGCTGGCCTCAAACTTGCCACGATCCTCCTGCCTCAGCCGCCTGAGTGCTGGGATTTACAGGTGTGCTCCACCATCCCCAGCTGCATCTTGTCTTTTTGAGATGGGCTGTTCTCTCATCTGCCATATTGTCTCTCTTATCTGGTCTCTGTACTCCTCCCCAGTCTTCCTGACCACTCCATCTCAGTGTCTTCCTGGCCCTTCTTGATTTTCTTTTCCTCGAAATGCTGA